CTGATTAACTCAATCTGCTCCTGCAGCGCTCACCCTCTCCCATACTTGTAAAGTTCAAAGTGATGTAAATCACTTTCCAACTGTTTAACCCACAATCTCACCTTCTCAGAAATTTATCTCTTATTGGCGATGGTGCCATCGAGAGAATAAAGAATTCAAAAAAAACAACAATCTCTTATTGGCCACTGGCTATCGTGAGAATAAAGATTTGAAAGCAGCTTAACTTTGATTTTTCTTTACCCAATCCCCATACCTGTCATTCTTTACCCAATCCCCATGCCTGTCATTCTTTTTCTCGTATTGGCCGCAGGCCATCGTGAGAATAAAACATTTCAAACAACGGAAAGTAGTTGGGTGGACACACCCATTCCCAGAGCACTGCAAAGGACCGAGCCAATTCTGTTACGTACGATGTTTCGGCAATATTGCCATCGTCAATCCAGGCAAGTTACGTGCCGCCACAGCAATTCGCAGGGTCTTTGCATTGCGTGCCAGCCATTGTCCGGTGCGGTTCCTGTGCCGCACACAGAACTTCTTCTTATCCGTTTGGCGGTTTTTAATCTGCACTAGTACAATCATCTGCCGGGCGCCGAAGAACGACCAGGCTAGAGTTTCACCAATGTTTTTAAGAATGCTCCAGGCTGGATTTTGCGCAGGTAAGAACGGAAGCTGTAATGATCACGTGCGCTCAGGAGTATAACTCTGTTACAGGTGTGGATGGTGCTACGTTTGCGTAGTTTCGTGGCGAGTCGAAACATGCGAGCTGGCAGGTGTGCGTATGCGTCAGCGCACGGCAGTCCTGTGCTTGAACACAATGTACAGTGAAACCTGTCTAAGACGACCGCCGCTCAAGGGACCTTCGAAATGCGGCCTCTGCTGCCAGGCGGTCTCCTTATCCAGGGTCGTTTGACTGCAAATAGCATCCCTTGGTCCTGGTTCTAAGTGGTCTTTTGGGACGGGTGGTCGCCTTATCCGAGTGGTCGCCTTCACAGGCGTTACTGTACATGCATATCCGGTACACATATAAACTCAGTAACTGCTCGCCGTACATACATCATGAGCATGTGCATAACGTACAGCTGTACTGGTGAACAAGGAACGAAACGGCTGCAATGCGGTCTGTGCATAATTATTCCCGCCATTTTGATCTTGAGGGGCAAGTCCACTAAAACGGTACACACTGTGATACCAATCCTGCATCAAAGGTCATAAACTGTGTACGAGCATACCCACAAATGTACTACAACTGACTGTACCTGCCAAATATGGGACAAGTTGCCCGTCAGGAAGATGGCGGCCATGTTTTATGCATAAACCCCATTGCGAAAAATAAGAACGGCCTGGGCTAGAACCCCGACCCCCGACCTCCCCCCCCCCCCCTCGTTCTTCAGATTCAGAGAAGCACAGAATACACAGTGCGGCGGCGGCACTCACGCTTGCATGGCAGTGTCCTGTGAGTCCCGGTGCAGACAGGCTGAGGACCGGTGTAGTTGTATCCATACATACATGTCACCGAGCCGTTCTGCGAGATGGAGGCGATATGATCAATTGCACTGCCATTGTAATTGCATTCTGGAAGAGGAAACACGAGGAGAGAAAGAACGTGTTGTGAGAGAACATGCCACACCTTACAGCGGTCAAATCCCTTGTACAGGCTGTATCGGCTATAGAGTGACCGGATATAAGAATATATCGGCTACAGTGATATTGGTACGAAATATCAAAAGCAAACCGTATTTTATCCAGTAAACGTATCACTATAACCAATATTATCAGATGTAATGATATATCGGATATTATGATGGCAACAAAGAATCAAAACATGCATAACACACTATATTAGTATCGGCTATAGTGATAACTACAAAATGCATGTAGCAATAATATCAAAGGCCCTATTTTTTACTTTCTTCACGTTGCTTATTTTTATAGTGATACATGTACATAACAGAATTTTTTTATGGAAATGCGGGCACTGTCAACTATGCAGCATGCTCATTTGTCAAAACGCCATGCTGGAAGTATTTCCTTGCCTTTCATGTGTCGATCGAAATAAAAAATAAAAGTCGATCGTATCGCATATAGTGATGCATCGGATATAGTGATAATATCACGGAAATCAAAAGGGTACTCTATAGCCGATACAGACTGTATACAGAGAGCCCTGATGTCGTACGTACTCATGATGTCATGACGACTTAATCATGATGCATGCCGACTGCAGTATGGAAAACTGGTTTACTGAAATTTTCGCTCTACCGGACGGTTGATTTTGGCAAATACGGAATATATCACGCCGCCGAAAATTCCCCCTTTTACAGTGCACCTGACTTACGTGTGCAGGATGAAATCGTGTGAACTCCAGTACAGACAGGCTGAGGATCCCGGTACTCATACCCAGGCTTACAGGTCACCATGCCTTCCGGGGAGACGGCGACAATATTATCATTTGAAGTGTGATTGCATTCTGGAAGAGAGAGAAAACAAAGAGGAAAACGCGGAGAGAAGGGACATGTCGTATTAGAGAGAACATACCATGCCTACCCACAGCCGACTCTCTGGTATACAGAAAACCATGCATAAGGCCCTACTCATGATGTCACGATGCCCTGCTCATGATGTCATGATGCCCTACTCCTGATGTCATGATGCTCTACACCTGATGTCATGACTCATGATGCAATACTCATGCCATGATGCCCTACTCATGATGTCATGATGCCCTGCTCATGATGTCATGATGCCCTACTCCTGATGTCATGATGCTCTACACCTGATGTCATGACTCATGATGCAGTACTCATGCCATGATGCCCTACTCATGATGTCATGATGCCCTGCTCATGATGTCATGATGCCCTACTCATGATGTCATGATGCCCTGCGCATGATGTCATTGTATTGTATTGTATTGCTTTTATTTTACATCGCAACTTCGCAAGTCAAACGGGCAATCATGCCCAATGTTATGATGACGATGGAAAGGGAGAAAAGGATTAAGAACAAGATTAGTTATCCTGGATTATGGGGAGTGAAGAAAACGATGAATCTAGGAATCTCTCCTTAGATCATCAACATTGGCCATGAAAGTAGACTTTCAATGGACGCGGGCTCGCTTTCTCACATACTTACTCTCTTTTTCTGTCTGTCTCTCCATCTCTCTTTCTGTGTGTGTGTGTGTCTCTCTCACTCTCTGTTGCGGACGTACACTGTATCTCTCTTTGTCTATCTCTGTGTCTCTCTTTGTCTGTCAGTCTCTCTCTCTCTCTCTCTCTCTCTCTCTCTCTCTCTCTCTCTCTCTCTCTCTCTCTCTCTCTCTCTCTCTCTCTCTCTCTCTCACAAGCTCTTTCTCTCTTTCAGTTTCTCTTCTTTTGTTGCTTTCTCATGAACACTAGCACACACACACACTCTCAACATTGATCACTTATTCCCATCATGCATTTTTGGGTTTCGTTGTGATAGAATATTGTACTACTAGTACTACTGATGTACAACACTATTCTCATGCAACTGGAGGGTATATATTCGGGTGCTATTTGTTGTTGTGGCTAAGAGTGCATGGGTGCTATTTGTTGTTGTGGCTAAGAGTGCATGTGTGCGGCCAGCTAGTTCCAGCATGCAAGGTGTTACATTTGCTACACTGTGGTCTTACAAGCACAGAGAACCATATGTTCTAACTTTCCTTGATACAACTATGAACCGAAGCACAACTGCTGCAAACATTTTTAACTGCCCATTTAGGCAAGATAGGAACAACTAAAAGTAGAAGAAGTAAGTAAGACTAGCGTCCTTCCAGCTCCAGGACAGTATGAACAGGCAACAACATAAATTTTAACAGCATTGCATCGTACATGCATGTAGCAATGCAGAAATAATTGTACATTTAGTTGTGAATGCAAATCCAAGGCGGAAAGCAGTCAGGCGTAATAGATGCCAGCAATAGAAACCAGATCTGTGACGCATGTCACATGCATTCATGATGATCAATGCATCGTGGTTCATCACCATTGAACACAGTAGTACATGTAAATTACACAGAAATAGGAGATTAAATCTAACATATCTCCCTCGTGAAAGAAAAGTGATAAATATCACATGAGTGAGTAAAAGACGAAGACAACAAGAAGAAAAACATGACAAAAACAATGGCAATTGAATATGAAAACTTGAATATGAAAACTCGGATGGAAGAAAAGGACCAAGGACCTACAAGACGTGCTAGAGCTGATAGCCAGTTTGTTGTAGAACGTCAGTACTGTCGGTCAGTTTGGTGCAATGTTATAATTATTGTTATTGCATGAGCTGATTGTCAAGTACAGTGGATATCGGTTATAAAGTCATCGGACATAGTGATAAACCGGCTATATTGATACAAAATGAAAATATCAAAAGCAAAACCAGAAAAAGCCAGTCAAATTATCATTATAACCAATATATCGTATATAGCGATAAATCGGCTATAAGGATACAGAATCACCATTCAAAACACCTCTTTGTGCAGAAAAATTATCGTCTGTAGTGATAGCAACACACGAGTGTGAGGCATTGATGTCTCGACTTGAGCCACATGTATGTTGTCGTAGTGTATTCTGGTCTAATGCTTCCTGGATGATGCCTTTGGGCCAAGAAGTTCTTCACTCTAGACCGGAGAAGGTGCAATAGTATCCATCACGTATCAGTACGCTACATTAGCGCGATCGAGTACCCACACGAGTATAATGTGTATGTATGACGCGGGCAGTTGAAAATCGCCTGTAGTGATACACCGGTTATAGTGATTTAAAATGTGAAAAATCAGAAGGGCACGTTATAACCAATATCTACTGTAACTGGTGATGTTAGTGGACAGCATAGCATAACGCGTTGTTCTTTGGTCTTTGTTTCTTTACTATGAATATGAAAACAATCACAGTTCGCTCAGTACTTGCACCTTTAACTTCCAGTGGCTCAAGATGATGAACTGCATGCTTGTGTACCTTCCCAGCTACTTAAACTTCTAATATCCGAACAGCACCATCCTTACCTGGATAGGTCATAAGCACACGTCCAAGTGGCTAGTGTGCAGTTGCGGTGTGCTTATCCATCACAAGCACGATATCTCCTTAGGGTGATGCTGTTGAAGCAACCACACCACTTGGATGCTTAGCTTCGGAACAATCTCTTCCAGCTAACGTTTCCATACCTGATCTACAATACGTTGCACAAACTCCCAGCGCTTTCTTGGGTGAGCTTGAGTCATTGTAGATGTGTTGGCTTCAGCAGCAATAGTTGCCCTAGCATGGCCAATGAGAAAGTGTTGTGGCAATAGCAGCTGAAGGTCTTCATGCAGCACTAGTTTCATTGCCTTGGCCATTACCTAGAACACACCACCAAAGTGTGGTGCACTTGGTGGCTTGAAGTACCAGGTAATGTCGCGGTATGACCTTTCTGCTGCTAGTCTGAAGTTGTCGAGAAACTTGACAGCTGCTTTTACCTCTTGATCAGCCACACGGAAATTGGTACCGTTGTCCGATTGCATCTCTTGTGGCACACCACGTCGCATGGTGAATCGGGGTCTAAGAGCCAGGAGAAAACCGTCGTTGTCCAGAGATAACCTCGAAATGACAAGCCCTAGTCAGCAGGCATGTAAACACACATACATATCTCTTTGAGTTGTGACCGATCTCGACCCTGGCGTGCATAGAAGGGGATGACATAGCCGACACTAATTATGGCAAATGACTGATGTGGTCCAGTTGTCTTGAAGTCGGGAAGTGGTGGCATTGCTGGTGTTGCTGTTTTGATATGGCCCTTGCGGCAAAGAACGCACTTGGCCCGTTGCCTCCAGGTGGCCTGCATCACTGGAGAGAAGCCACTCACCCGGCACAAGCCTCCACAAGTGCTGTGTGCTCCTCATCGTGAAGTGATACCTTTCCCAGTGAACGTCAACAGGCGTGTTGATGTGTTCGACGACAAAGTGCAGTGGATCCATGCATTGAGGGGGCTGGATCACTGGAGAGAAGCCAATCATCTTGCGAGAGCAGTAGCGAGTGCGTGTGCAGTTCAGCTCCTTCTCTGCATGATCAAGTTGCTACAGACCTTGCAAGCTGATTTCATACACCACTGCCACAGGTTATGTCTGTCAGCTAGCTACAGCAACAATATCCTCTTCATGAATGTTTAAAACTATTTTCTTGGGTCAAAATCAGCTCTCCACTGTCTACAACACAGCATGATCGCATGTGCATGGACAGGATCCGACTGCGATGCAGCTCTCCTGGAAGGAAGCAAAGTTCTCCTGTCGCCAATGCCATCGCTTGTCAGTGTCACTCAAGAAAAATAAATTTCAATTTCAGAAGCTACGAATTCAACGCATTCCAGTCTGCTTCCACCAAGACTACTTACTACAGGGCATCTGATTTGACAAGGTATATCAGTAGGACTTGGAAAAGTCACAGTAACAGTTTTAAACAGTTTGCAAGATCACTAGCCATTACAACAAGTATCAGAACATCAAAACAAACCTCGTGTAGATCCACAATTTCAGATTCAACCCATCGATCTACAATTTTAGGTTCCCTTTCCCGCCAGCTGGACATGCATGCATGCATGCTCTCACCAGGCCGGGAGTCGTCAAATGCCGGTACTTGGCGACTCCCTGGCTCTCACTTGTCAGCCAGCTCACACGTCTTGTCGTGCACGCGCAGACGTCCAGCACACACGCGTGTCGAAATGTGTTTTTTGGCGGGTAGTTGGCAAAAAATTAAGTGAGGGTCCCTTTAGTCCTTCGCCGTTCCAAGTGCACGTGGAGGAAGCGCGTGCAAAGGATGTGGTTGTTTTCGATAGTCGAAAGGAACCGATCATTTTGTTTGGTTGTATGGCTTCTTCAGAGCCAAGTGCACTCGAGGCTGCCGATGAGCATGCAAAATATGCTCAGAATGTTGAAATATGCTGAAAAAACCCAAAATGCGAAAAAAAGCTGAAAACCCCCAAAATGCGAAAAATATGCAAAACATTATCCGCACAGGCCTAATGATGACATCCTATTGAATGTCATCTGATGATGACATCATACTGAATGTCATCCGATGATGATATTACACTGAATGTCATCTGATGATGACATCATAATATTGAATGTCATCTGATGATGACATCACACTGAATGCCATCAGAAGATGCAGGAGTGGAGTGGAGTCGGGACCAACATGGCCGACAGCACGTGACCCACACATGCAGGGGTTGAGTGGAGTTTGAACCAGCATGGCTGTGCGGTATGATCATGAGAGAGAGAGAGAGAGAGAGAGAGAGAGAGACGTGAAACAAACAAAAACATCCTTCACGAACGAACGATGGAGTCGTTTCACTGCCCCTCTCTCGCATGATAATTGACTACCATGACATGTCTCTGACCTGTGCATTTGGGCTTTGCTGCCGTGGTGCTCTGCGCGATGCTGTTATCATTTCTCCATTGTCCAGATTTCTGGCAGGTCAGCACTGCTGGTCCACTCAAATGAAACCCAGGCTTGCACGTATAGGTTGCCTAGGTGAGCAGTAAAGAACAGGGCATGGTTGTCATGGTTATACGGTATTTAGTGCGTTTCTGCAAGTGTGGCAGGGATGCCGCTCTCGCTTATACCATTTTAAGAACATGATACATGCAATGAAGGGTAAGTAAGTGTGTGTGAGAGACAGAGAGGGGGGGGGGGGGGGGGGAGAGAGAGAGAGAGAGAGAGAGAGAGAGAGAGAGAGAGATACAGTTGAACATCGATTATCCGACCACCTCTGGGCAGACAACTGTCAGGCGGTGTTCAGATAAGGCAAATGTTCCGGATAAGAAAAAACTGTCACTCACACACTTTCAGTGGTTATTACTAGCCGCACGACCTTTTTACTTTTCAAAATTTTCGTATTTTTGAATGGCTCACTACATGCACAGTGCGTACTCTACGGCACGTGCGCCCAAAAAAACTGTTACGGATAATCGAATGGTCGGATAGTCGATGTGCGGATAATCGATGTTCAACTGTAGAGAGATAGTGCGTGTGTGTATGTGTGTGTGTGTGGGGGGGGGGGGGGGAGAGGGTGTGTGTGTGTGTGTGTGTGTGTGTGTGTGTGTGTGTGTGTGTGTGTGTGTGTGTATGTGTGTGTGTGTGAGAGAGAGTGAAAGAGAGAGAGAAAGAGAAAGAGAAAGAGAGAAAGAAAGAGAGAGAGAGAAAGAGAGAGAAAGAGAGAGAGAGAGAGAGAGAGAGAGAGAGAGAGAGAGAGAGAGAGAGAGAGAGGAGAGAGAGAGGAGAGAGAGAGTGAGTGAGCGAGTGTGTGTGAGACAGAGAGAGAGAGAGAAAGAGAGAGAAAGGGGGGGGGGAGAGGAAGAGGGAGATAGAGTGTGTGTGTGGGAGAGAGAGAGAGAGTTTGTGTGTGGGAGAGAGAGGGAGTGAATGGGGCTCGAACCCACGACCCTGAGATTAAGAGAGTCTCATACTCTAGGATTATCCCGGTCGGTCTGGACCGGATTATCCCGGTCAGTCTGGATTGGGGGTAGCAAAACAATGTGCGGTGCTTACCTGTTGCATGTATCGGTTTTCGTACTGTCGCTGGCCATTCTTGATAATCTGGGGAATGATGCATTGCGGTGCTGTGGAAAGAAAGAGAGGAGAGGAGGGTATCGCACATACAAGTGTTGCAGTGCGGTATTTTGTGTACGTGGTGTGTTCGTGGTGTGTACGTGGTGTGTACGTGGTGTGTACGTGGTGTGTATGTGGTGTGTACGTTTTTTTCTTTTTTTCTCCACAACTCTTTATTGCACTCAGAAAAATAATAAGGCACCCATTTTGATAGTCCAGGGGATGGCCCACGCCTGGTAAAAAGAATAAACAGAAAAAGAAAAAAAAAGAAAAATAATAGGGCACCCATTTTGATAATCCAGGGGATGGCCCACGCCTGGTAAAAAGAATAAAAATAGAAAAGAATCATGACAAGTACATGACTAGACCTCTAGACAAAAATGTACATGTCTGACTTTAGTTCAACAGTCCTGCAAGGAAACACGTGCCTCGGCTACTACTACAGACGCGGGTCCCTGGTGACACGGTGTGCGGATGAGGATCTTGCCCCACGAAGGCACATCACGCTAGCTCGGACTAATGCAAAGCTTAGCTTGCAGCGAAGCCATGCCATCGTCACGGAGTACGGCTCCTTCAGCTTGTCAGATAGCATGCTGGCAAGACGCTTGAACAGGGCCGATGCACACTTGCTAGTGCCACCAGTGGTTGACAGCACTACTGGCACGAACGTGGCGCGGTCAACCTCAAGCAGACGCTGCTCATATCTCCGGCGTTTCTCCTTTTCATGGCGTGCATACACTGAGGAAACTGAGGCAGCGCGATTTGAGGCAGCGTAGGAGTTGAAAACCCTTATATCAAGAAAGGTGCGCTCAAATCGGCCACCCCAGATTCCGTTGGCGGCAACATCAAGACGGGCCTGATCAGCGGTCGTTGTGGACAGAAGCCGGAATTTCTCTCCGGTGACTGGCTGCAGCATCGGTTCTGTGCACACACCATGCGTGACCTGACGCAGAACATCAGCCGTGAGGTCTCGGATTTCATTGTGTCGAATACTGGGGAATCCCCCAGTACTGCAGGACAAGGCATGGGTGACGTCAAAGTTACCATGGCCACATACGCATCCTGATGGCAGGCGTGCTGGTGTCCACCCGTACCGGAGACAGAGGGCATCGCGAAACTCCGCCTTGGACAAACGAAATCCATGGATGGCTAGAGGGCGGCAAGTCAGCCAGCTAGAGGCCCCCTTCTCCGAAGCTAGGGTCAATTGCAGCTCAAGCTCTGCTCCAGCACCATCCTTGAAAGACTTCACGGCTGCCAGGAGGTTGGTTCGCAAAGTCGTACGTACCTCTGCCTTCATGCGGAGAACTTGCGCCGCGGTGCCATCTAGGGAGGAATCTTGGGCGATTAGTTTCTCCCACAGGGATGTCGTGATCTTGCGTGAATTGCGGTAGTTGCCGCCCATAGATGTCGGGTCGGTGATGCCAAGACCACCATGGCGACATGGGAAGGCCAGCAGTGCACGCTCCTGAGAAGACGGTGGCGCGTGGCCGGTCAGAGCTGGGATCAGGATGTCCCGAATCACGTCTTCAAGATGACCAAACAGTGCAGGGGCATCCTCAAGGGTTCTTGAGAGAAAGGACCACTGCGGCTGTAGTCCCTGAATGAAGGCACTGTCGGCTGCCTGAGGTTGAGTCGATGCAAATTCAGCCAGACGACGAATCTGCTGGACCCAGTCGGTGACCTTATTAGCAACGTACTCTTCCACAAAGGACGGCGTGCCAAGGGCTGCTCCTAGATGACGACAACCATCCTTCTCAATACGCACACCAGTACTGGCAAAAATCACAGTGGCTTCCTCGTACGCCTCGGGTTTCACGAGCAGGATCGACTTTGTTGCATTCAGGAAGTACCCATAATCCGACCCTTTTGCATTCAGGTCATCCCACCATCGCCGTAGCGGGCGAAGGCGGCCGCCAGCTGAGGAATGATCCACGTACCATTCCTGTACCACGTTGGCAGAAGCAACATCAGCGATAAGCGGGGTGACACCCAAGGCATACTACATAGGCATGGCAATGGGGTCACCCTGGGTGGTGCCTTCACACGATAGAATACTTTCTCCGTCGACATAGAGACGAGCGGGGGATCGGTACGTATTAATGACCACTGGGGCCAGTGCCGGGCAGAGATGGCGGATGTTCAGGAGGCAGGCTTTGCGGTTGAACCGGTTGAAGGCGTTGGAGGCGTCCGCAAGGAGCACTCCATCCACGTCCGGATGTGTACGTGGTGTGTACGTGGTGTGTACGTGGTGTGTACGTGGTGTGTACGTGGTGTGTACGTCATGTGTACGTGGTGTGTACGGGGTGTGTACGTGGTGTGTACGTGGTGTGTACGTGGTGTGTACGTGGTGTGTACGTGGTGTGTACGTGGTGTGTACGTCATGTGTACGTGGTGTGTTCGTGGTGTGTACGTCATGTGTACGTGGTGTGTTCGTGGTGTGTACGTCATGTGTACGTGGTGTGTACGTGGTGTTGGTGCATGTTGTTGTGGTGTGAAAAGCAGTCGTCGTCTTAAGTTCGTCATGTCTAGCTGTGTTTCCGTAGTCGTCTTGTTACTCACAGTCCTTCTAAATGCAGTTATCGTCGTCCCATTGTATTAGTGTGGAGATGACACGGGGCTGGGAGCAGGTGAAGAAAAGTCAGTTACAACACATGAACAGCTCATAGTTTACACTGGGTGAGCATATTAAAGGGGAAGTATACCCTAAAATCAAATTTTCACCAGTTGTAGTCTTCGGGGTGCTGAGTCGAATGGTCTTGTTCCGAGGAAGCTGCGATGCTCCATTCCTCCTTTATTCCCAATCGAACTCGCGCACTTCCACCGAAACTGGGTGACTGCGCCCTACTAGATAGGGATTTGTATGGAAAAGTCACTAAAAACGCCATTTCGTTCTTATAAAAGCACGGATGACCGCGATTGGTCCATATGTTGTAGTCTTTTGGCCGCTGAGTCGGCTGGTTTTGGTCCGAAAAGGCTGCGATGCAGCGTTCGGCCCTTATTCCCATTCGAACACGGTTGAGTAAGCGGTCACGTGCTCATTTACAGCCTGTTTGGGCCCATTTATGTCACTCAAGTTGAACCTTTGAACCAGGGAGTCGTAAAAGCCTCTTACGACTCCCTGCTTTGAACCTTCGAGTTGAACCTTGATGTGAAAATTGTAGCCTGCAGGCACGGTGACCAGGCGACTGGTCCGTGACCGCCTACTCAACCGTGTTCGATTGGGAATAAGGGCCGAACGCTGCATCGCAGCCTTTTCGGACCAAAACCAGTCGGCCAAAAGACTACAACATATGGATCAATCGCGGTCATCCGTGCTTTTATAAGAACGAAACAGCGTTTTTAGTGACTTTTTCCATACAAATCCCTATCGAGTAGGGCGCAGTCACCCAGTTTCGGTGGAAGTGCGCGAGTTCGATTGGGAATAAAGGAGGAATGGAGCGTCTCAGCTTCCTCGGACCAAGACCATTCGACTCAGCACCCCGAAGACTACAACTGGTGAACATTTGATTTTAGGGTATACTTCCCGTTTAAGCAGGGGCGTCGGAAGGTAATTTTGTGTGGCAAGGTCAGCCATCTGAGGTAAAGTTTACCTACTGGGAGGGGTGGCTCTGCTGAAAAATTTTGAAAAATTCTAGTCCAGATCAGTGCTTTTGATTGATGTATGCCCGGGGTGCCTGGGGGCAAAAAGTGGTACGGTCAATACCGTAGTGACAGTAGCGTGTCCGACGCCCCTGCTACATGTGTGAGAGAGAGAGAGAGAGAGAGAGAGAGAGAGGGGAGGGAGAGGGAGAGAGAGAGACATGCATTGGCTGCTGCACTTCCGATCATTCCCTGTATCAATAAGTCACGTAGCGGACCACCATGCTGGTTCCAATGCCAGCCAATCCTGATATGAAT